ATTTTTGTAAGCCGCCCCGAGTAGACATTCTCTAGGGGGGGCGGGGTAAAAATTGAATAAATAAACAAATAAATAAAGGTTAGTTATTAGCTTTAATTGCTTCTACCTGCTTTACTGTGGGACTTACAACCCACATATTTATGCAGCACTTGTCCCCAACCAAGATAAACCATAGTACCATAACTTTTTGTTTCTCTTGCCTTTCAACTCCCAAACAAATTGCATCAGAGCACAGAGTGCTGTCCTCTGAAGATGCCGGCCACAGAGACTGGGGAAATGTCAGGAAGAACAACCTTCAGAACACAGCCAAAGAGCCCGAAAAACCCACAACAACCAATAACAACAAAGTTCCTTTATGATTTGGTGAATACATAGTTTCTCAGGCAAGTGTGCACTGCTGTAGAGCATGTGCTAGTATTGATGTGCAGCAAGTTGGACGTGCTGGAGGCGAGAAGCTATGCAGTCTGATGATGCCTTGTGACTGGGGGACAGAGCTCTGTCGTCAAAGAGGGATTAGCACTGGTACACTGGGACTCCAACTGGGTGCTATGCACCATTGCCCTTTGTGGTGATCCACTTGAGACTGCAGAAAACAAGTGGAGCTGGCCCAAGACATGCCGATGCCTGAGGAAAATGGTAAACAACACCCCTCCACCATCAAGATACGCAGAGACTGTCAAGGAAAATTACAGGCCTGAGGAGAATGGAGTGTATTAATGAGAAGCCATATTGAACAGATGTGTTAAAACTGAGTCATGATGACTCGGCATTGCTGATGCAACTCATAGATGATGCAACTCAGGGATAATACAACCTGTAATCTGATTGGTTCTGTATATGTATATATGTGTGAGTTGTACAGTCAATTGTATCTTCCTGCTTGAAGATAACTGCTACATGTTATACTGCCAGACTGCTGTAAATATTCTTTAAATACACGTTGGTGGAGGAAATGCTGCTGGAGTGTGCGTAAGTTATTTCTGGACTGCCTGGACTGCCAATTACTCTACTAAAACCGCGATTTGCACTAAGAAACGCTAACAGAGACTGCCCTGGAGGAGTGTCCTTTGAATTGTTTTTCAATACGGACAATGGGCCAGCATCCTCTATATACCTGAAAGCCGCAAGGTATTTATGAGGGTACAGCCAAGTTGTGTATCATCATCATGGTTATCAACCCAAGTGTTCTTGGACTGCAGCTCCCTGAAACCCCAGCCAGCACAGATGTTGGTGAAGGCTTCTGGGAATTGCAGTCTAAGAACATCTGTATTACCCAAGGTTGGGAACCATTATATCATAGTTTTGCCCTCTACTGTCATCTCTGCAACCTAACATTTAAGACAGCTATCTTGCTTTCCTAGCAGGACTAGCTCTGAAGGGAGAAGGAAGGAGCAATGCAGTCCTTAGAGCTCCCAGGACACCTCCCACACTCCTCTTCCTCCTCCTCCTCCTCCTCCAGGAAGTTCACTGGTTCTTCACAAATTAGTTAATTTAGCTATAAATGCCTCCGTTCCATTCTTTGGAGTGCAACATAACAACAGAAGTGTCCAGCTCAGTCTATCACTCTTTGTCTGACTATCTAGTTCTCTCTCCCAACTCACCAGTGTTATTACCTTGCTCTGTGCAGATGCCAGGATGCAATGTGTTGTTTTGTTGTGGGGCTGCCCTCATACCAGGGGGCAGTTCAGTGACATAGGAGGCAGGCACAAAGATGGGTCGCTTTTGTTTGTGTTGACCAAGACGACGCACTTGCCACCAGTCGTCGTTAGACTTGTGCATGAGCTGGAAGAGCTCGCCTTCCAAAATGGACACCCGCCTCCCATCCTCAGACTTATACTGATAGTCGTAGAGGGCCTGTAGCATCACGCCAGCTGTGGGATCCAGGGATGACTGGCTCTGTAGGCGACTGAGCCCTTCCAAAAACCACTGGCCTGAAAGCATCTCATCAAGGGTTATAAAGGGTTGTTTCCAGTCCCAGAAAGGGGTCTCAGCTGCCATCTAGACAGAGAAGAAAATGGGACATAACACTCAGAAACTGAACATGGAAGTCTGTCTCCTTGAACTATCAGCTCCAATCAGCAAGTTAATAAGAAGATTATTATTTGTGGGCAGAAATCCTGTTACTTTAAAATACACTGCATAAGGCTGATGACATCATCAACAGCGAGTTTTTTAAAATTAAACATTTCTCTCCAAAAGACCCTTGGAGTACCTTTCATTATGAGGAGCCCACTGGGGGACACAAGATGAGGAGTCTTTAATTTCTAAAAATCACACCTCTGGTAAAATCATCCTGCTGGCAGTGATTTTTGGAAATTTAAGACTCCTCCCTAGTCCTATGGTCCACAAGGCCTTTCCCATTATGAAAAGGATTGCAAGAGATTCTCAGGACCTTGCAGGGGGTGGAATCAGAAATTTTTAATTTCCAAAAAAATCTTCATATCTGATGATGTCATCAGTCTTACATGGCTTAAGTAAAAGCAGTAGGATTTCAACCATTATATTTTAAATTGCTGCTTATTTTATATGGGAAATACCAAAACAATATGGATTTTTCTGAATTTATTCAAGATGAAACGGGAAGGTTGTAGGGAATGTTTGCAGAGTTGTGATACACTCCACTGTTCTATCAATTACTACTCATGTCAAAATAACAGTTTAAACTGGGGTAGACAACTTCCTGGGAGTTGAAAGCTCTACATGCCTGCTTCTTGATAATGGAGGGCCACAGTCACTCCTAGTCCCTGCTTTTTCCCCCCTTTTAAAAGTTTTTTTTTTAAATCTGATAAATCCACCCCTGCCCTCTAGTGGGGTACAAAAAGAGTGCTGCTTATACAAGTATATTGGGGGCTCATAACATGGCAAAACTGACTCCCATAATCCCTAATTTCAGAGCAAAAAAGGTTTTTTTAAAATGTTTTTAAAATATTGAAGGGTGGAGGGAGAGCTGATGGCCCTTGGAGTGCCGGGGAATTGTGTTTGGGCTCCTGTGGGCCACACATTGCCCATTCCTGCCTTAAACAGAAGAATAGTGGCCATTGCCTCTTATGTGGGATCAAATGTGGTGGTGGGAGCAGACAGAAGACACAGGATATCTCCTAACAGTGTGGAAAATTAAAGTTTGTGTGGCTTACAGTGGAAAAGAAAGAACTTACTAGTACTAGAACTGTTTTTCTGGAAGCATCCTAGTTTTCAGGATCTGGAAATAGAAAGAAATGGCATTGTCAGAAACATTTAAAAATGGGGCAGAGGAAAGATAGTAGTGTTGAAACGGAGAAGGTGAGAGCACCCAGACTTTGCCTTTAGCTGCAAAAGTGGCTCAAACGACAAGACTGCCTCTTCCGAGGCTCTGCACTCTCCAGCTGCCCTGGCAGGCAAAAGTGGCAAGAGGCAAGCCACGTTGCAGTCGCAACAGGAAGCAACGCTGCATCTGCCGCTCACCACAGAGGAAGAGCGCATGCATCGCCCTGTAAAGCCTTCTGAGGAAGAACCTGATGTTCTCAAACTGAAGCGAGTGAGGGAAGCTATTCTAGAAATTCCCACATGAGCAAATCCAGCTGCCTTCACATAGAATCTTGGGATTCCTCAAAAAATGTTCTTACTAGTCTCTCTCTCTCTCAGCAACTAAAATCCAGTATTAAGTCTCAACTAGAGTAAACCCACTGAATCGGTGGGGATTTGGTGAGTCAATGGCTATGTAAGGGCTTGATCGCACTGACAAAATCCCTCTTTGGAATCATGTTGGGCTGAAAACAACCCAATTTAGATCACAGTGTACACACAAGGTGGGTGCATGAGCGAACTACTGTGCCAGGGGAGCATGTTTTTCTGCTCCTCTGGCAAACCTCTGTTTATTTTGAGACACATCGATTGGAATCGATTCCACATGTCTGTATGCTCCTGCTGATTTTTTTAAAATTCCCATTATCTGATACTAGATAGCACAAATGAAAAAAATGTTAAAGCACTGTGATTGCCTCTTCCCCTAACACACCAAATCATCCACACCACCAGTGTAATAACTCACCCCCACCTCCCAAATGCCTACCTGATTGTGCCCCTGAATCACCCCCCCATTGCCTGCCCAATCACCCACTCATTGCCCATCCGATTCCCTACTGCCAGCCAGGTGCCCTCATCACCTCTGCCCCTCATCCTCTGCCCCTTCCTCCCTCCTCTTCCTCCCCCTCCCTTTCCATTCTCCCTCTGTCCTTCCATCGGAGCCACTTGACAGGAGATGGAGGGGTGCATGGCAGTAGGGGTAGCAGCAGGGAGCCTGAGGAGGCAGCAGGGAGCCCAAGGAGGAGAAGGAGGCATAGTGAGGACATACAAACTGCCACAAACATTTTGGATTCAGACTAAAGTCCAACTGATTTTAGCCCAAATTCAAAAAATACTATCTTCCTGCTGGTTTGTTCCAGCAGTCCTAGGTTCCATTGATTCAATGGCCCTATTCTAGCTATGACTTTAAAAAGTATTTAACAAATATGAAAACAAAAAGCATGCATACCTTAAAAAACTTAATAACACACAGCAACATAAAACAATTATACAAAACGTGCTCCTCCCACCCATTTTCCGGGCCCAACAACAGAAGAGAGAATCATGAAAGGGCATTCTCAATAACCCAAAAATATATGTGTAGAATGGAGCCAGAATGTTATTAGTACATACACAAAAAAAATCCCACCTATGAAAGTGGCACCATTGTGGAGGATTTCAGTCTAGCTACACTCCTTCAGTCATGAGAGCTGAATGAAAGTGTGGTAAAATCCATACTGCATTGTATACAAGTAGCAAGGAACCTGTCCTTTCCCATAACGATCCCCCATGCTTTCTGGAGGCATGTGATAGGAGATGACAGGAAACAGGATGCTGGATTAGATTGACACAGGAGAGCTCTTCTTTCATGGTGGCTCTAACAACCATCCAAATATGGTTGATGTCTGGTTTCCATGTAATCTCCCCTTGGAACTGAAAGAGACCGTGTTTTTCTTCTTCTTCTTAGCAACCACTTATATACAACTATTCACTAATATTACAGTTACACTCACGCCCCCCACTTTTAGAAAGTCTGCTGCCTTTTACCTAAATAGGCAATTGTTGTTGTTTAATCGTTTAGCCGTGTCTGACTCTTCGCGACCCCATGGACCAGAGCACGCCAGGCCCTCCTGTCTTCTACTGCCTCCTGGAGTTGGGTCAACTTCATGTTGGTCGCTTTGATGATACTCTCCAACCATCTCGTCCTTTGTTGTCTCCTTCTCCTCTTGCCGTCATACTTTCCCAACATCAGGGTCTTTTCCAGGGAGTCTTCTCTTCTCATGAGATAGCCAAAGTACTGGAGCCTCAGCTTCAGGATCTGTCCTTCTAGTGAGCACTCATGGTTGATTTCCTTCAGAATGGATAGGTTTGTTCTCTTTGCAGTCCAGGGGACTCTCAAGAGTCTCCTCCAGCACCACAATTCAAAGGCATCAATTCTTCAGCAATGTATAGTGGCAATTATGGAGAGAACATTTTGGTTTTCTAACTCTCCCCCTTGGGTGGGACTAGCTTTTGTTGGAACTTTTCTGACCCTGGAATGTTTTTCCCAAGGGAAAACTTTCATACCAGCAATAGTAAGGAGGAAATGTATCTTTAAGTGACAGGCTTAAATAGGAACTCCCTTTTATTTGGGACAGCCAAACAAAACAGGCATGGAAAAGCTGGTCTGCTTTCCTGTGTATCTACATCTAAAAAAACAAAGACATTCCCAAATAGAGAGAAAAACACCCATTCAGCTGAAGCTATACCCCCCAAAGCAAAAACATTTAAATAAATGATCAAGACATCTCACTCAGTATTTGGACCCATTAAAGTTTTGCTTTGAACCAAAATTATGCTCTTAACCCTTGACTGAGGGTGCTACTTACAGTCAAGTTATCCCAAACAGAGGTTTCTCTGCCATCCTTTCTACTGTTACAACCCACTGCATACATCACACATATGTAACCAAAGATAATGCTACACATAACTTTATTTGGGAGCAATTTAAGCAATTACACAGACTGCAGAACAGGATAATAGGAGTGCTCCCAATCTCACCAAATAAACTGCAGCCTTAATGTTGTGCCAAAAAGGGAGCAGAACACCTCAAAAAAAAAGAGGGGGGGTGTCTTACTTAAATTGTGTTTGGTCATCAGAAAATAGGGTGAACCAAACTGAACCAGAAGCGAAACTAATAGCGAAGTGTAGGTTAATTTGATCCCCTCCTAACTAAATTATATTCTACTTTGTACAAAACTGGATTCACAAACACTTCCAGTTATATATAGAACGCAACACGTTTTCTATTGTTGCTATTTTATCTGAGTCATAATACTCTTACGCTCATATACCGAGACAAGTGTCAGTGTTGCTGAACAGTTGGCAAAGGCCTTGAATTTCAGACAGATAAATAGAGATGTGCCTAATTCAGAGGTTGTGAGAAAGTTTTGATTATTTCCACCTGGGAGGAGGCACACTCTCAGCAAATGTAGTTGTAGAAGGAGTAACTGTGTTAGTCTGTACAAACATTATAGGTAAAAGCAAAATAGAAATAAAAAGTAAAAAAAGACAAATCTCTTTCTCTTATGCCTGATAAAAAGGACTTGTCCACAAAATCTCACATTTAAAAAAATATATAAGTTAGTCTTTAAGGTGCCACCATGTTTTTGTCTCTTTTTTTCCTTTTTAGTTTTACCTATAACTCTCAGCAAAGAATATTCATCTGTGAATCTGCTGATTGAGGATGCTGAGTCATAGTGGCAGCCCTGAGAAACAGATACCACTACTGTTTTCAAGATGGAGTCTCCGATCCTGAGGAACATAATCTAACCAGCCTAATAAGCAGGGCTGGCTCTGGCTTTCAGAGTCCTTGGCAAAATATCTTTGGTAGACCTTCTTCCACATTAATAGGCCAATGGCTCTGAACATACCTGTTGGCTCCAGCAGGCTCCTCTGAGACAACATTTAAAATTGCCCACAAACCCCTAAGTGGCACTACACTGGTAACAACCTGGGAAAATTAAAATGGCAGCTCACAGATCCAGCCACTCAAGAAGAGGGAACTGTCAGCAATGCCTAGGAATGAGGCATTAGTGGCTTGCCCAGGGATACCAGGTGTTGGCACAGGGTTTGTCAATAAGCCATAGACTAGTAACCCTGTCCCCTGCCTCCCAGCCAACCACTCTTACGCTATAAGAAAACTCACCTTATTAAAGTCTCTCCCATTGAAACTTCCTTCAATAAGTGTTTTGTGAAAGGATACTCAACATCAGGGATAAGGGGCTATGAAGAAACTGAAAATTTGGGGAATATGAAATATTGAATTCAGTTTCTGGACACTTCGTGCATGCCTGGGAACTTGACCAAATAGGCAGAGGTTAGGGCATGAACAGGCAGTTCACACCTTCAATTTTTCTCCTGTTCTGGAACACTTCAAAGAAAGGAATGAGCCAGAAACAGAGGCATCTACGCTTATCTTTTATCAGTGGGCATATCAGAGCCTCCTGACAAGGACTTTAATGGCTTAGCTGCAACCTCTGGCTTAAAATGTTTTTGGCAACAGGTATGTAATGGCCCATTTACTTATATACAGTAAAAGGAATTAGGAAAAACCAGTTAGTTAGCCTAACCTGTCTCCGAGGAGAAAAATGCTTTGCTCCCCTGCTGTTTCATGATGTCTCAAAGGGACAATTTGACTTTGAGGCTGTGTCTGTTTTCTGTCCTAAGAAACTTTGCCAGAAGGATGTACTCTGTGCATGTCCCAGAATGATTCTATCCATTAAGCTGTGAGCATCAAATAAAGTAGACTAACTTTTATTATTTTCTGGTGTATTTTTTTCTTGAATGGTGTGTAATGGCCCATTTACTTATATAAAAGGATGCTATCAATTAAGTTGTGAGCATTAAATAAGGTAGGCTACCTTTTATTATTTTCTGGAGTATTTTCTTCTTGAATAGTGCTAAGTCTGTCTCTGTGTTTCCTCCTGCATTTTGAAATTTTTTTTCATGTAGCCTTTCTTTCTTTCTTTCTTTCTTTCTTTCTTTCTTTCTTTCTTTCTTTCTTTCTTTCTTTCTTTCTTTCTTTCTTTCTTTCTTTCTTTCTTTCTTTCTT